AATACTTTAATTCTTCTATTTTTCAGTCTCTACAATGTACACTAAATAAATTCTAACAGATAAGCTGCAAGATAGTCTTTATAATCACTGACCACATAAGACTATAATGAATAATAATAATAATAATAAAATAATAATAATAATCTTGACAGCTCTAGAAAGTAATACATGTGGATAAGATTACAATCAATACTATCAGAAAATAACAAATGATATTTACAAATAAAGTTCTTGAGAATTGCAAATTACTAGTTAAAGATTACAAGAAGAAAAAAAGAGATTAACAGCATACTTAACTTATACAGAGATTAACACTATACTTACTTCAAATACTGGGACAGCACTTTTCAGACCAGAGCAGATATCACATGTAGATATTAGTCAGCATAGTTAGCTTCTAGTTATAGTTCAGGAGATCTAACAGTCTCTATAATATGAATATCATCTTGCCACTTATTACAGATGTTAATTGTTTTTGGGCACTCATTCTTTAAAAAGAGCAATACAGTAGATTTCTGCTATAGTGAACCTCTATACAACAAATTCCCCTATATAATGGACAAAATCTCTTCCCAAATTTGAATCTCCCTACAAAATTCATTAATCTCTGATAAACTGAAATTTGCTAACCATTTTGAATATTTTATAGATAATTTGTTATAATAAGACCTAATACTGTACCAGACCACTATTTCAATTAAGCAAAAGAAGACTTTCTGAACTTATAAGCTGTAGTATTCAAGTCTCAGCAATAAAACTTTAAAGTAATGACTTGAGCAATACTATAATCAAATTATTACTTTATTTTCTGTCTTCAAGATTCTATTATTATATTATGATTATCTTGATCAGATTGTCTGGTGCTCAGAGCAGAAGCACTACTATTATAAGCACTAGTCTGAGCTTGAAATAGCTCTTTATATGTAAATTCAACAGACAGAGAATTACATCTCTACCTTAAAAGGGATAATTTAATATAAAGCAGAGTTTTTTTGAAAGAATCTATTAGTTTATAAAGATTACAAAATGCTAGCATTTAGCAATAATTAACTTTACTAATTTCAGTTTTGCAAGTTCATCAAGAATTATATATAATATAGAAAAGCTGAAAGTACTGTAATAGCAGAGTAAGAAATAAGAGATATAAAGCAGCTTCTTTAATAGTATAATCTCAAAAACATCTTCAACTGTAATGAAACTAAGCTTTTTTAGAAGTTAATATCAAATCAAGAGCTTTGTATATACTCAATGCCTGGACAAAAAAGAGAGAAAATATAAATCACTGCTTATATATACTGCAATGCAGATAGATTAGAGAAACTGTTTATCTGATTTATTAATACAGCTAAATAATTATACATTTTTCATACTGCTAGTATTAAAATTAAGAATCTGTCACTCAAGTAGTGATTAAATAAGAAAGTCTAGATAACAGAATATATTATAAAGAAATAGCTTTGCTAATTTAATTCTTAAATAACAGACTGTAAAGTTATGTTTTTTATAAATAATTTCTCTGTATATGAGCTTGCATTTAAAAATATTCAGCAGAGTCCCTATCTCTTGCTGAATATTTTAATTATTTTACTTTCATTAAATGCAACAAGTAAATATCAATCACTAAATCAAGAGATGATTTATACATAAAAGTAATACTAGAAGCAGTAGTGAATTTGATATATACTTGAAAAATATAAGTCTGGCCAGAATTCTCTTATTACAGTCAATATTTTGATGACACTGTGCTGGAAAATTAAGATATAATATATAAACACATCTACAGTTTTAATTATTTACTACTTTAACAAAGCTTTATTTCTCAAAAGATCTGTACAGTTGAATTCTGAGAATAATTTAATTATAAGGATTACCAGCAAGTTTTAAAAACTCTGTCTTCTCTCAGTAATTCAAAATCTGATGAATATTCAGTACTTTCTTAATTTAGCAGATAAAGTAGTAGAGGATTTTTCTAAGACTATTGAGCAGCATATTATTGCACTGCTAGATCCAGCAGATAAGAGTGAAGAGAATGAGAATTTAGCTACAGAAATGCTCTTACTGATTACATCTTTAGAGACTTTAGATCTAGTTAAACAGCTCCAGCTGTATAAAGAGCAGCAAAATCAGAGAGATCAACAGATAATTCAGCAGCTCAACAGCTACAAGAGCAAAATAGCAGCAAGATATTTGTGCCTATTTTCAATGCGCACCCCCTATATAGTGAATTCCCCTATATAACAAATCAAATAAGCTTCCAAATTTAAATCGCTATAGCGGGGATCTACTTACAAGTCATGTGAGTATTCGGCCCGACAATAATCCAGTGAGGCCAAAGATAACGGATGCTCCAAGGGCACACTCCGTACTCCGTACAGCACCGTAAAATCAGGCCCAGGGGACCGACCCCTAGACGTGCTAGAAGGCTCAGCCGGACATTAGATCGTGAACTTGAAAGGATGCATGTAATATAGATGCTGCGCTAGCCTCTTAAAGGCTAGCGCAATCCCGCATAGCTGCCCAATAGGCGGCTGGGACGGTGTATGACTAAAACCAAACCAAACCAAACCATAACAGATGCTCCATACAGTAAGGTAGTTCACCACTAAATGAGCCACACCACTAAACAAGCCAAATTTTGCCAAATGCTTCATGCAACAAATTTATTAAATATCTCAACAACCAGATCTTTATTATTAAATAGCTATTAAATATTAAATAAATGTATTCTTTAAAGCATAGAAATTAGTATAGTTAGGAAAATAAATAGGTGGATGACCTAATATTACAGCCAGAGCAAGAGATTCAGAGGGTAGATAGAAAAGAATTCAAAGAAATATCAACAGTAGATTTCTCAGCTAGAGAGTCTAATACTTTACTAGAGATGCTTGTAGAGCTCTTACTTTTCCTTTTGGAAAATTGTATAGACTTTCTGTAATAAGGCTCTTTAGTAGAGAAGTTCTTCCAATAGTGCTTTGAAGCTAGTGCTTGAAGCTCTGACTGCCAGTATTTATTAGTATATTTAACTGTCTGTTTTTTCTTCTCTACTAGTTATAAAGTCTTCTTCTTCTCACAAGCAATATATTATATTTTTCTTTATCTAGTATATTTAATTTTTTTGATCTCTTGTTGCTTTTAGATCTTTTTATAAGCATTCTTCTGTTTAATCTGTCTTTTTTTAATATTTCTAGCAGTTTGCTTCTTTTAAAGCTCTTGTTAAAGTTTTATCTTTTGTATTTAAGTAATTTTATCAGCTTTTTCAGTCTTTATTTCATCCAGGCACTTGTGTGTCTTAGGAACTTTTATTGAAGACCAGAACTGTACTTGACTAGAATTATCTTTATTAAGTAAATCTAGAGACTTGTCTTGCTTGTAATGTTGCTTCTCCATCACTAGAGTTAATCTTAGCTGCTGATTTTTATGTTCCAGTAGTTTATTATAAAGAGCAAACTACTTACTAACTTGAATAACTTATTTAATGCTCTGTGAATTTAGACTGTGCTAAAGATATATACTTTTGATCTCTTATTAAAGCTGGTGCATATTGCTAGAAATAAAAGATTTAACTAATAATGTAGAGGCTTGAGCAGTTTTAAATCAGTATAGTTAATATTAAGAATCCAGAGAGTTAATTTCAATCTTTACAAAGTCAGTAAGTATATTTTTAACTATTAAAATCTTCTTTTAAGTCATATTAAATAATCTTCAGAAATCTCTTTTTATCATTTGAATATAGCTTATTTCTTGATATAGTAGTGCTTTCAGCTTATTAAAATATGTCTTGCTCAGTGGCTTAAAGATTTCAACATCAAGAGATTACAAATAGTGAATTGAATGTAGTGGAAGAATTATAAGAAGAATCTTTTTATAGTCAGCATATTCAATAAATTTCATATTTATATAGAAGAAATAGTCATCTAGTAGAAGCAAATATTTTTCTCAATTAGCTTGTTTCTTAGTATGCTAATTAAAAACCTATTTTAACTACTTCAGTCTATATTTATTATTGCTTCAATCATTTGTTAAAGCTGTAAAGTAGATCTATTTACTTTCATTATAATTATCTAGTTATATATTTTGAAGATCTTGTAATTTGTTCTGATAAATAAGAGCTGAAGATAGTATAATTTCTTCAGCAGAGACTAAGCAGAGTAATAAGAGAAATTTCTGACTACTATTCTGAGTAATGATATTCTTTCCAGCTTGTAAAGCTTTAATAGAGACTAATTACTTTAAGATATAACAAAAGTCTAAAAGAAATTCTTTTTTATTAAAGTTATAGATATTTAAGAGCTTAAGATTACATTAATTAATTTTCTGCTCCAACTATTCTATAAGTAGTAGTTAAATAATTAGCTAGTATCAACAACTGTAATTACAAGTAATTATATAAATTATCAAATTACAAGCATATAGAAGTGCTTAAAGTACTAATAGTTATCTACTATTTGTCTATTTTAATTAATTACTTTAAGATAAATGTATTTAATCTTATTATTATACTACTTGCAAAATTAATTAATTTAGTTAATCTTAACATTCTCTTCTGTTATCTCTTGTACAATATTTTATAGAATCTGAGATGTAATAACAAGGTCATAACTAGAGAGCTTGTTTATATAATTCAGAAGCTCTGTCTTCTGTATATTAGAGAGCTTTTTCTTATATTAGAAGATTATTTTATTCTGAGCAAGTTGCAAGTCTTTATACTATTAGTACAGAGTCTCTCAGTTAACTAAGTACTTTCTTATAATTACAGTATAATTTAAGATCTCTTGTGATTCAAGATCTTTAATTACAAGTCTAATTGAGATATTGTTGACCATATTATCACATATTGAATGTTGAACATTGGAGGAATTTTGGTGGTGGAAGATTTGGCTTGTTTAGTGGTGTGGCTTGCTTAGTGGTGAACTACCTTACAGAGTAGAGCAAGCAGCCATTCAACCCCGCCATCACCCCACTTCCAGGATTTCATGGTCAATGTACTTGGTAATTTAAGAAAAGGCTGATGGATATTTAAACACTAAAGGACCCATAACTTCAGGAAACACGGTTCCTTCCACTTCCAATTCTGAGAACTCCAATCGAGGTTATATTTGCTGTAATACCTAGCAAAAGAGTGCCCAGATTCCACAAAAATGTCCTTATCAAACAAATTAGCTATCACTGACATTGACCTTCACGGAAAGCGTGTTCTGATTCGAGTGCGTGCAACCCCAACTCTGCTAACGGCTGTTCATAAACAGTACCATCACCAATTATCTAACAGCATTTGTAACTTAGGTTGATTTTAATGTGCCATTGGACTCGCACAACAATATCACAAATAACCAACGGATTGTCGGCGCATTGCCCACCATCAAATATGCCATTAACCATGGGGCCAAATCTATTATTTTGATGTCTCACCTTGGTCGACCGGATGGAAGACCGAATGGCAAATATAGTCTGGCACCAGTTGCACCTGAGTTGGAAAAGCTCCTTGGCACGCCAGTCAAATTTGTACATGAATGCGTCGGCAGGGAAGTTGAAGAAACCGTTTCCAGTGCAAATAACGGACAAGTTATCCTACTGGAAAACCTCCGCTTTCATCCGGAAGAGGAAGGGAGCTACAAAGATCAAGAGGGGAAAAAGGTTAAGGCTGATAAAAACAAAGTCGAAGAGTTTCGCAAGGCATTGACTGCATTGGGAGACGTGTACATCAGTAGGTACACCCACATGCAGAGGGAAAAGCTTAGTGAGCTAAACCGTTGAAAATCCAGACGATGCTTTCGGGACAGCCCACCGAGCGCATAGTTCTATGGTTGGAATCAACCTACCAGAAAAAGCGTCAGGTTTTCTGGTCAAGAAAGAACTTGAATATTTCGCGAAAGTCCTGGAAAATCCACAGCGTCCCTTCTTGGCAATTCTTGGAGGCGCTAAAGTTTCGGACAAAATCCAATTGATCGACAACCTCCTCAGCAAAGTAAACAGCCTTATTATTTGCGGCGGGATGGCATTTACCTTCAAAAAGGTTCTCGACAACATGAAGATTGGGAACAGTCTATTTGACGAGTCTGGCAGTAAGACTGTTAACCAGATCATGGAGAAGGCGAAGCAAAACAACGTGGAGGTTGTCCTCCCTGTGGACTTTGTCACTGGCGATAAGTTTGCTGCTGATGCTAAGGTTGGCTATGCCACTGATGCCGATGGTATTCCGGAAGGATGGATGGGTCTCGATTGCGGTGAAAAGAGTGTGGAGCTATTCAAAGCGGCGATCAATGAAGCCAAGACCATTCTTTGGAACGGTCCTCCTGGTGTATTCGAAATGGACTCGTTCGCCAATGCGACCAAAAAGACACTCGATGCTACTGTGGCTAGCGCGCAAGAGGGTAAGGTAGTCATCATTGGTGGTGGAGACACCGCCACCGTCGCAGCGAAGTACGGTGTTGAAAACAAATTAAGTCATGTCTCAACTGGCGGAGGAGCATCGTTGGAACTTCTCGAAGGCAAAGAACTGCCTGGGGTTTCTGCTCTGTCAAGTAAATGAGTTTGCTTATTTTCTAGCTTCTAAAGTCTAAGTTTCATGTCCCAAAGGAAATGATTCGGGACTTCGTGGCCGAAACGGAATGACTGAAGACCAGACTTTAGGCTTGCCGAATATTCGCAGTTCTGTACAGAAATCCCTTTGACTTTTAATTTCGCATTATCAAATTTTTCGCGTGAGAACTCCCATGGATAACACAAAATGATGGGTGTTTGTTACATGCCATGCAGTGACTCTTGTGGACTCTTGTGTTATGAAACACGCAGGAGAATATTGCAAATCTATCTCTCAAATAGATCTCACATTTGTCCTTTCAAATTAAGTGAAGCTATGACGTGGAAGATGTCGGCACAGTTAAAAAATATTCTTAGTAGAGGGGTTATTTTCCATGTTTGAAACCCAGCTTTAGGCCTTTTAGTCCTTTTGACTTCATGTCGAAGCGCATTGTCTCCAAGGTATACAGAGTGCTACATAGGCATATCCACTCCCGCGAATCGCATTGACTGGTTATGTATTTCTCATTGCTGTTTCATAGCTTCCACTTTCTTCAATTCTTCCCTGGATTAAAAACTTGTTAGTTTCAGACTGGAAAGATTTCTGTTACAGTGCTGGGCTTTTCTCATTTGTTCAAGCAACACTCACTTCAATTGTCTAGAGAATTCCTCATTGCTATCATCGTCATCCCAGCTTTCCTCCCACAGATGATCATTGTTTGTTCCCGCTGGGCCAAGTGCCTCGGCATCTTCTTGAGGCCAATCTAGAAGAAACGGAAATTAGCCTGTCAACAAGGCTAACCAAGGGTCATGGGAGTTTAACGAGCTGCAACAGCAATTTACCTTCAACAGGAAAATCCTCGAACTCATCATCTTCTTCCAGAGCAGTTGTTGGCTTCTGGGCTTGGGATGAAATCTCGCCGTGACGTTGGATGCCAGTCTGGGACTGAAGAGTAGTGGGCTGGCTTGACATAATGAAGCCGAGTTTTTGAGCCCTTTTGGTGCCTTCTCAGAAATAGAAGAACGAGGCAACTGATTGGAAACACCCAGAATGTCGATTAAGCTTGTTGAATTGCTTCCGGGCAACAGGCAACAATCACATGATAACTATCTTGGCAAGCACAAGTGACACCAAGAATGGACAACAGAAATTCAAGTGCCAACCAGTTGTATAATATTTCAATCAACAATCGCCAGAAATTTATATCTTATGCTAATACTGGTGCTCTGTGAACTGGATGGAATAGCATATATGGATTTCTATGGAAAAATTCAGAGCTGTGAAAATAGCCCTATCCCCTCGTCCGGCCGCCAGGCAAAATTAGCGTAGAAATTAGCGTGTACAGTAGCGTATTTAATACTGGAATTCTATTGGAGGCTGGTGTATTTGGCGGTAATCTGTAATTTATTCACTCTAAGCCTATTTTGGTTATATTAGAATTCTATTTGTAGAATGGAACTCTTCCCAGCAATGTCTCTTGAGGCAGAGAGCTACTATACAAACTGAGCAACCACACAGTGATCTAGAGACCCAGCCTTTCTTCATTTGACCTTGTTGCTTTTTATACTGACACCAGGCACAAACTATCATAGCTGACAATATAGTTCATAAATGAATAAGATCTGTATTTGATTATTGCAGTGGTAAAAAGTCAGCAGATTTGAAAAAAGTCTTATAGAGTTGTTTACAGAATACTATATGCCCAATCAGCCTAGTAGTAAAGCAAGAACAAGATAGCTGGTAAAGCATATAAGTATTGATTATTGCATGGTCAAGCAGCCACTAGAGAATTGACAGCCAGGTCCTATACTCAGTGCAATGGGTCTTACAAGATTCTCTATACTGATTTGCTATATCAATTCCATCTATATAATGGCTATAGTCATTAATGAGAGCTGGTATCTCAAGCTCTTTAATAGGGTCATCACTAAAGATTCACCAGATCTGAGGCTTATTTGTAAAGATAATTCTAGATTTCTTTCACTCTCAGATAATGAAGATATTCAGGGAATGAATAATTGACAGTGCAAGTACTATATTATTGTCTTTCCAGACTAGACAGAGGATCTTATTCTCAGATTGATAGCATAGAGTATTGTAAAGGATCTTTACTAAGCTACCATGCTTCTTGAGCTCTTAAAGAATAGTAGATAATTTGCCTGGTCATGTAGTCCCACAAGCTTCATATTCTTGCTCTTATAGATAGCTGAATAAAGTAATTGACAAGAAGTAGTTGTCTATATAAATTAAGTAGCTAGTGACATTCCTTGAATGAATATTTTCAAGCTCAGGCAAGGGGCATGATAGTAAATTGAGTGAAATAGTAAGAAGTCACTTAATTAACTCCACTACTAGAGATTCAGTCTTGGTCAACTCCAGGTACTGTAGTATATGCAAAATGTTCAATTGATAACTACTTATGCAAAAGATTCAAAAATAGCTTTGTTCTGCTAAGCTAAAGATCTTATATCTTTGCTTGATTGACTTGTTGAGCATTTTAACTGTGTGCTTACTGTGGCCAAAGCACCAAATCATTATCTTATTAATTAAAAGAGTTGAGCCTGGTTGGTAGTAGCATCTACATACAGCATGGAAATTTGATAGTAAGGGTTTTAATTTATCAAATAAGCTCTTGGTGCTGTGAGAATTTGAGTCTGATATATAAATATATCACTTGAGCTGCTTGTAAGGATTCGCCGCGAACCCTTTACATGGACAAACAGCACCCGCGAGGGCCAGAGGCCTCAGCTTGCGAGCTGCTGGGAGCTGCATGTCTCGGAAGGACCTACGAGGCTACTAACCATATGCGGAAGCTATAGGAACCACAGAACGTGAACTCCATAGATGTGCGTGCCCTTGCTCCTCTTATCCAAAGGATTGTGGGATGAGAAGCAAGACAAAAACTCTGCATCAGATCAAAGAAGATCCAAGCTGCTAAGCTGGAGACTAACTACATAGAGACTAGTGTCCTGACACTGCCCCCTAGGCTCCAGCAAGTACTGGGAGAAGACAAATTTCTAAATATATAAATCCAACAAATCCAGGATCCAAGCTGATTCAATAACCAAATAAGTGGAATATTTCTTAGTAAATGGTAAGCAGAAGTCCAAATTGGAGATTGAGCTCCAAATCTGTTGCTGGTGTAATATTGTTGTGGGTTATGCCACTTCTGCTGGTGTTTGTGTCATCCTAATCAAGTAAGTGTGAATGTAGAATCCACATTGTTGAGATTCAACATCTGTAAGAATTCTTTAAATTTTTGTTTTTCAAGTAGCTTTGTTAAGCTGTCTGCTGGATTCTCTGTTTCTGGTATATGGTAGAGTTTCACCCTTTTCTCTTTGAGAAGCTCCTTCATAAAGAACCAACACATATCCATCCACCTGGTGACCAGTGTGTATGTTGGCTTGTGAGCTAGTGCTATAGCATTCACACTATCCATATATATAGGAATCAGAGCTTTTGCTGGAAGATCAAGATCTTGTAAGAGCTTCTGAATCCAGAGTGCTTTCTTCACAGCAGAATCAAGAGCACAAAATTCTGCTACTGTGCTTGATAGCACAACAATCTTTTGGCATTTTGAGCTCCATGTGATGGGAGTTCCTATATAAAATAATACATATGCTTCTGTTGAGCATCCTTCCTTGCAGTCTTGATGACTAGCATTCATATAGACTTGTAATTCTGGGATTCCAGGCTTCAGAATGCCTTTAAGAGTTAGGTCTAGCATGAGAGATCCTTTCAAATAACACAGTATTTGTTTGCTATATCCTAGGTGCTCTAGTGTTGGCTTTATAGTGAATTGTTGGAGTTTGTTGACAGCCAATGTAATATCAGGACAGCTCTTTATCAAGAGCCAATTGAGAGCTTCAAGAAGCTGTTGCAGTCAGTTCATAATGCTTTCAGCAACTACTGAACTAGGCTCAGGCTCCTGTGTAAGCCATACTTCTTCTGCCATAGAGGTGGTCTGGATTATTGAGCCACTTATGTAGAATTTGGCAAGAATCTTTTGAAGATATAATTCTTGAGAGAGGTAGGTTATTCACTTCATACAATCTTGTTCAATTTTGCAACCTAGGAATCTTGACAGTTTGCCTAGAGATTTTATAAGGAAACAGTCAGACAGATTGTTTTTGAAATCAGTGTTACAAATGTAGACCTAGACCAACCAAGCATCAGACAACATCAGATGTTCAGGAGTATTCACATGACCCCAACACTGAACATATAAGGATCACACAATTTGCATGGATCATGAGAACCCCAGCATTCAGTCTCTGAGTGAGAGAACCTCTACATTTTACACATGACTCTCTCCCATTAGTTGCAGACATCATACCTACTTAGCTCTTTCATACCTCTAATTCTGGGAAAATCTACATGACCTATAACCAGTTCACCTAACATTCTGAACACTCTGATATACAATTGCCTAAGTCAGTACAATGCCACCAAGACCCACAAGACAAACCACAACAACACCCTACATTACAGACCCAACAGAGATAGACACCAACATGGAGAAGATGAATATTGATGAAGATGCTGGTAGCAGTAGAGCCATCACCAGTAAGACACCAGCAGACAATACAGGCAACAGAGATACACCTCTCAATATATTGAACAAAACCTGAAGAGAGAAGATCTTTGAAGAAAAGAAGGCACATCTGCAAAAGAATCTAGCAGACATATATAAACAAAATGAGATATGCAGGCTGCAGAAGCAGATAGAATATAAACAGAGAATAGCAAACAACAATTTTTCTTTAGAGTTTCCCTTACACACAAGACTGATAGAGAAGTCAGATGATTTTGACAATGTGAAGTCACTAAAAGCATCTTACTACCATAGCAAATCACTTGACAAGTACAAATTATGGTTAGCTTTAATAAGACAGCAGTTTTGCCTAAGAAAATCATTATGAAAGATACCAGATGTGGTCAGAATTGATTGGGCATCCAGTCATTTTTATGACAAACCCCAGATACATTGACAAATGTTGGGAATAGAGAGAGAATAACTACCCACATCATAAAACAAATTCAAGATGTGGTGTAAGAATGATGTTGAATCTGAGATAACTTGTAGTTAAGGCACAATGCAGCATTATCATGATACCATCTAACAAGAGAATCAACCCATACTCTTGTTTTTCATGTACATTACTAAACTCAAACAAGATCTGGACAGTTTACCAGATGAATTCTTTTGTGTACTCTTCCTATAGACAAAGCTCAGATCAATCATCTGGGCTGAACTGGATAAACTGCAACACCAATCAAAAATAGTTGCAGAATTATAAGAACAAGCAACACTTATTGAGTCCATTCTAGAAAAGAAGAAGCAAAGTCAGTGGAACAAGAATCAAAATAAGAAGAAACAGAAAATCTCAATCTCTTAAGAGAAAGGTGCATTCCAACAAGACAATAAAGAAGATTATCCATGAATGAAGAAGACACTGGTGAAACCACTTCCAAAAATATTGAAAGAGAAACACAAATAATGAATGAATGAAGAGCTCTGTCTAAGATATAATCAATCAGACCATAGAGCAAAGTTCTGTACAAACAGCTCCAACAAGTCTCAGCAGACAGACAAAAAGAACAAAAATCAGGCAAAGACTAGGGCTGCAAAGCCCATGCAAGACCCAGATCAAACATTAGAAAGACAGGGTGTTAATCCAATAGAGAAGGCAAGCAGGCACAGTATATGTCTGTCAGCCATACTAACTACACCATCAGATGATCTTACAGAGCAAGCTGCACTGTTGAACTCAGATACCACAGTAGACAGTATCTCCTACAAACTAACATCCCAATTGGACTGGGATCAACCAGAGACACCCATAAAAGTTATTGAGATGTTGAACAGAGCTGAGACTGATTAGTACAGCATCTACAAGACTCAACTCACTATAACAGACTTCATGGGGACCACAAAGATGGTAAAACATACATTCACAGTGATTGACATG